AAAAAAAAAAAAAAAAAAAAAGCTGGAGACATAATCATTTTCTTGTGGAGACGGAATCATTTTCTTGTGGAATATCTCCTGGGTGGTCCCCTCCTGGGTGTCACATGACTGTTGCAGCAGTATGCTCTGAACACTAAGGAAATGTAGAGGCCAAGGAACATCCTGTGGGGCGAGCCAGGTGACTCCTTCATGCATGGATTCAAGTGGAAGTCACAGCCGCAGCCTCAAGGAGTAGTTCAAAAATAATGGTTCTCAGGCAGGAAGAGAAGAGCTTTCTAGAGATGGTTCTACTGTTAAGAGATGAGCATCCTTTGGAACTCCCCTGCCACTGAGCCCCATGTGTGCTGCACAGAAGGACAGCTATGGCCGTCAATACCAGGCTAATGGACTGCTGGGACCAAGGTTCAACAGCGCAGAGGGATGGGGCCACTTACTTTGTACATCACATTTCCTTCCTCCATTAATTTCTGTAAGAGTATAATCAAAATATCAGGTTTGGAGGTAGCCATCGCCCAAGCAGCATTTCCTGCAAAATAAACATGCTTTCAGAAGCACTTCCAAGGTTCAGGGGAAAGCTGGTCAGTCTTTCTGGGTCCCAACAACTGTACACCACAAACAGCAGAAACCGAGCTGCAAGGATGTGGCCGTCCACGTGCAGACAGCAGTGTGACAAAGGAAAGGCAGTGGCAGCAGCAGGCTGGTTGGCTCCTAACTTAGTCTATGCAGAATCAGGCACACAGGTGGGGAAGGGGCCAGAACAACCTGTCCTTAGCATCCTGTCTCTAAGAAAGTGAGACCCATCCAACCCTGAAGGGGATCTCAGGGGAAATAACAGAACCAGGCCTTGGCCATCTCTGAAGCTTCCTGCACGCCCATCATGCCAGCCATGGGCCAGGTTGGTGCTGCCAATTTTCCAAACATCTGCCCTTACTGTCTACTCTGAGACGACTTGGCTGAGACCCCCCTTAACGTCCTTGGCCAGCTTCTCTCCATGCTACAGCATTCTCGCTAAGCCCACTCTTGACACTTGGGGTGCTCAGGGAGGATTGTGGAGAGCAACCTCTGAGGCACAGGCAGGCTCGCACAGTGACTGTCACTGTGACCTGGAGGATCCCTAGTAAACGATGGTATCATCACTGCCTACTTACAGGGTTATGGGAAGAGCAAATTAAATGGGACGCATGCAGCTCAGGCTGGCTTAAGAATATTAGCAAATATGTTTCCATCACAGGGCCTGCCCAAAACTGCTCAAATATGGAGGTTCTAGCCGCTCTTCCTCCTCACACCAAGCGGTGTGTGAAGTGAGAACCATCCTACAGAGTAGCCCACCATCCCATCTCCAAAGAATCCCTCAAACTTCTTCAGACATTGATCGGGTCCCCATATCCCTGCTGGCTGATGAACACCGCTCTAGCTGGGGGACCACAGCCTCACGGGGAGCTCTCCGAACCGTGGAAGCTTGGCCCGCCCTACTGTCTGAGCCTGGCTGTGCCATGCTGTGGCTCACAAGTGTCCCAACATCCTTAGCCTCTGCTTTCCACCCATGTCGGCAATCAGATGAGACAAGAGTCAGGCGGAGGGGAGAGAGAGGGATAAGAGGAGGAGGGGAGGAGAGGCAGAGACCAAGAAAGAGCCCTCTTTCCCATCAACCCCCGACGTCTTCCTCACCCTGTGAGCAGGCAATCTTCATGCTCCCCAAGGCACTCTGAAGAAAGAAGCCAATCCCTCTCCCTGCTGACTGGAGGAGGAATTCACTGACCTAATTTGGCTCCTTTTCTGAGCAATGTGACCACAACAGATGTGTTTCGACAACCGATGGCTCTGTCCAAGGGCCGCATTCCGCTGTGGTCCACGTGCTCAATCACAGCTCCCTTCTCCACCAGGTACAGCACCTGCATGGGACAGCGAGGCCCTGAGGAGCAGCAGCATGGGGCGGACAGCGGCTACCCAGCGGTCTCCACATTCTGATTAGCTTTACCCCTGCTGTAGACGGGGCAGGCCATCGGAGATCCGAAAGTGGAAATGCAGTTGATGCCAACTGGAGAAAAGTAGCTAAAGCCCATGGCCAACACCTCCCTTGCTGAGGTAACTCTGCTCTCACTGACGAGGAAAGCAGGCAGATGCTCCAGGCGGCATGTTGTGCACACACCCTCACACACCCTCACACACCACACAGGAAGCGTCCGCCCCGCGTCCCAGGTGGCAGAAGAGGCACAGTCACCTCTTTGCCGCAGTAAATTCACAGGTGGGTACCTGCAGAGGGCCAGCATGCTTGCGGTGTGACAGCAATGGGCACCTCCGAAGCATCAGTCTACCCTGCCCAGGTCTCACAGGTGGAAAAATTAGCAGCAGGGGACCAGACAGACCTAATATAATTCACTCAAGGCTCAGTAAAGACAACTGATGAATATTGGGACTGTAAAGATTGCACATTTGAGGCTAGGGTACAAAAATTTAATGTCATAAAACAGCCATCTGTGTGAACTAAGCAGGAAACATTAGGGTAAAATAATCACTTTTTTGTCTTACTAGAAAAGAAACCTATACTCAGTTTCTATTTTCATGTGGATCTAACAGGTTATGCTTCCTGTCAGTCCATGAGTTACTCAAAATGATACTAAAGAGGTTACTATCTAGAATATATTTTAAAAACTCATACAACTCAACAGTAACAATACCAAATTAAAAAGGACTTGGGTGAAGGACTCAAATAGATATTTTCTCCAAAGATGACATACAATAAGCATATAAAAAGATGTTCACTAACCATTAGGGAAATGGAAATCAAAATAGCAACAAGACAGCATCTCACGCCCATGAGGAGGGATACTATTTAAAAAATGCACAAGACAACAGTATTGAGAGGCTGTGAAGACACTAGAACCTGGAACACTGCTGACAGGAATGTGGGATGGCGGAGCTGCTGGGGAAGACTATGAGGGTCCTCCACAATTAAAAAGTCATGTACATTCCAGCAATTCCATGTCTAAGTGTTTAGCCAAAAAACTGAAAGTAGTGTCTTTAAGTGATATCTGTGGGTATACAGGGTCACAGAGGTGTTTGTAGTGCACATACTTTGTAACTTTTAAGCTTTCAAGAGTGTAATAAATCTTTACTACAGCAATCCTGGGATGGATAGCCTGTCACAGAATTAGAGAAAGCAAAGGTTTCATGGCCTGTGCTCGGAACACCCACTGATCACACAGCGCTGGGCTGGTACTCACGGTCTCGGCGTCGCCATAGAAGGCGGCCAGATCCAGCGGAGTGCGGCCGTTCTTGTCAGTCTGGTCTATCTCGGCTCCTTCTTCAACCAGATACTGCACCACTGCCCTGTGACCCTTCAGGCAAGCCCAGCTCAGTGCTGACAGACCCTCTTTGTCCAAAGAAGAAAGGGCGGCACCTGTGAGGAAAGCCAGTGAGAGAACGTGACCAAGGCAGAGCCGGCAGCACACACAGCAGTCCGCAGCTGGGCCATCGCACATGGGGAAGTCTGAGGCCCCTGGCCAAGGGTCAGCTCTGCGGCTGAGCAAGGGGCACGTGGGCTGTGCTACCTGTTCTCTCTGCTGGATGCTTAGAAAATCCCCATAACAAAAATAAGCTCCTGTAAAATAGTGACTTAAAATTGGGAGCAGAAAGTACTGAGTGGATCTGCCAAAGCTCTTTGTCCACACAAAAGAGACCTATGTGTGCGACAAGGTGACCCGCTGCTACCTTTAGAAAGGAGGAATTCCACGGTGCTCAAGTGCCCTTCACAGGCAGCCACCATGAGGGGCGTCCGGCCCTGCTTGTCACTCAGGTTCACGTCACAGCCGCGTTCCAGCAGCAACCTCACAATCTGAAAGAAATGCCCAATTACAGTCTTCCTGCTGCTGAAGCCACATTCTCTATACCCAGGCAGGTTTCTCAGTCTTTAAAAGTAGGCAAGTTGATTCTCTTCTTTTCAAAATCTCTTTTAAGTGGTGTGATTTGTGGGGCCTATAAATCTTCTGACTGTATTACTTTGAACAGAACCTTTTCCCCAAATATATCCCCTTTTTTAACATGCCCACTTCATTACTGTGTCTATGAAAACCACATACCGAGGCGGTAATCTGGCCACGGATGGCACCATAATAGGGTAATGACAGGACAGCCCCGGTGAGGAAGAGAGATAACTAAGGAGAACTCAGTCTGAGTAAGGGTGAGCAAGCGGCCGGTGCTGGTGCTGATGCCACGCAGTCAGCCATCTCTGTACATCAGCAGATCCACATCAGTGGATTCAACCAATAGTGGACGGAAATGTTTTTAAAAACTGCTCCTGCACTGAATGTGTATAGATTGTTTTCCCTGTTGTTATTCTTTAACACAATATAATGATTATTTATATGGCAACTGAATTATGTACTAAAAGTCATCTAGAGATGATGTGCATAGGTTATATGAAAACACTGTACTATGCCTTGTTACGTAAGGGACTTGAGCCTCCTCAGAGTTGGGTATCTTCAGGCGTCCTGCGGGATGATGGTGCCCACCACCGAGAGTATAGGGCAGGGCAGGTGAGTGGGCTGCTGCTCTGTAAGTCTTGGGGCTGGGTGGCCTCCCTGTCTGGGGCAACTTCTGGCACAGCTTCCTGGAGGAGAGGCTCAGGCTCAGCAAGTGCTTTAATACCATGCATGGTGTAGGGAGGAAAACAAGGAGGCGAGCACCTCTCAGGCACTGTGCCAGTAGGAAGGGCTTTATCCAAGGGGCTTTCTCTGGCAATTTAGTCACAGCATGATCACAGTGGCCACTACTGACATATTCCCATTGCTTTCTCATTGTTTTGCATCAACAAATGCCTTCCTTCCACATGGCTTAGTGAAAAAGACCAGGGCAGCCAGACACGGTGGGGTATTTTTCCTGTAATGGGCATGAAATAGTTTTATCTGTATCTGTAACCTGCTGCGGGATGGGGGTTTGGTAAGCTCGTGGTCATTGTTTAGGGCTAAATGATGAAACACTATGAAAGGATTCCTCACTCCTCTGAATTAGAGACAGCATGAAAATGCATGCTTTTCTAAAGAGCACAGCATGGCCCCTTTTTCAAGTTATGTGGGACCCACAGGTTACAAAACAACAGCAGCACATGTAATGGAGCAAATCTTCCAGGACCACGAAGGGCCCACCCACCCAACCCCTCACAGTCATGGGTCTGTGGCAGGGCTGCCAGTCTTGCTCCTCAACCTGCGGGTCTGACTGTGCCACGCTAGACTAAAGCCAGGGGTGGGGAAGACAGGGCCCAGGGCCGAAGGTGCTCTCAGTCTGTCTCCATCATCATTTTGGAGGCGTTCAGGGGGCCCATGGTGTACCTGCCAGTGCCCCTGGCGTACTGCACAAAACAGTGGGGGTACCCCTCTCTTGTTCGTCCGAGATACAGCAGCACCCCGTTCCAGTAGCAGCTCGCAGACCTCTAGCTTCCCTCTCCCTGCAGCGGCGGTCAGGGCTGCAGGAAAAGCACAATGGTGGGAGGCTGTTAGTAGGTGTGGACTACTAGGCCACAGAGGTTCTGATCCCCTCTCATTTCTGTCCCCTCCCTTTGAATCTGGGTGATTAGCAGGACACAGCAGAAGCAGATGCAGTTCTGCTGTATAGGCTGGGTTCCCGAAGAGGTACCTCGCCCTTCCTTGAAACATACCCCAGGAACCCAGATGCCATGCTTTAAGGAGACCCAAGCAGCCCTGCGGAGAGACGCACCAGCCCAGGGAGCTCCTTGTGGACAGCGAACACCAACTGGCTCACCACAAGCACAAGCCATCCCAGAAGGGTCCCCAGCCCAAGGGGAACTTCATTGATTAGAGCTGTGTGAACAGAGCCCCCTGCCCACCAGGCCTGAAAATTCCCAAGCTATTAGGTTTGGGCTTTGTTTTTCATAGCAAGACATCATCAGAATACAGTGCAGCACAAATGTGGATTGGTACCGTCTAGCTAAGCCTCTCACCATCAAGTCAATCTTCACCCAACTGAAATAATTCTTGAGGCAGCCAAGAGCAGATCCCTTCACTCCTACATTGATGGAGCTTAGAACTGCTTTATCAAGACAAGAAAGTTCAAGTCGAGAAGAAAACTGCACGACATCAGTTTGTACAGGGTATAGGGTGCCGGGCTGAATACACAAGGGGTGTGAGGAGCAGCACGGTGCTGCTGTAGAAGGAGGGGTGGACGCAGGCACAGCACAGACCCAACAAACATGGTATAGAGGGAAAGAGCGGCTGTGCCCTCCACACCACTCTCTCATTCTTGCTTCTGCTGTGTCACATGAATCACTGTCTTGAAAGGACGACAGCAGGTAGCCAGGACAATGGCCCATCTCTTGGACAAGACAAGAGCTCGGGGTTGAGTGGCATGGGATGGGTGCTCTCCCAGAGGGAGCAGGCACAACACCGAGGAGGAGGAATACGGTCCAGTGTGACGCTGCTGCTTGGGACAACTATGTTCTAAATACAGCCTTGAGTCTTTAAATCCCTACCTTCCAGCATATAGCAGTGTTTCCCAGAATCATCAGGGCAGACAGACCCCTCAGGCGGAACAGAGAAACACAGGCACAGTCCTTTCACAAGCGTTTAAGGCCAAATGCCAGGGGACTGAGAAAAACTGTCCAACCTCATGGGTCAGGCAGGTGAACAGGACAGGATGGGGATGCTCACTTGCTGCTGGTGGGAGTGAAGGCAGATGGCTCTGGTAAAGGAGCCAACACAGCTAACTCAAAGATGCAAGTCTCCTTGCAGGCAGCACTCTCCTCACACGTGGAACGGCTGCTAGCAGGGATGGCATCAGGGAAGAGGTGTGGCCCAACAGGGGACTAGTACACATCACAGAAAGCAAACACTGTGCCACTGAACACAATACAACATGTCAGTCTCACAACGGATTCAAAGGAGCAAGACACCAAAGGACACATAGTGGCTTCATTCATATATAGTTCAAAAGTAGCACTGCAGGGCCGGGGATTTAGCTAAGTGGTTCCACTGCCTACCTTGCAAGCACAAGGACCCAAGTTCTATCCCTGGTACCAAAAAAAAAAAAAAAAAAAAAAAAAAAA